GTGGGGGGCGTTTTCATGAAAACGGGCCCATTTTTTGTCAAAAAGGTTGCATGCATAGGTTTATGGAGGCTTATAGAGTGCTGCGGGGGGGGGGGGGGGAGACAGCCGGTATTTTGCTCATTTCTGCCCTCCCCAGCCCCCAGGAGCTCTCCGAAAGCCTCCATAAGGGTATGCATGGCCATTTTGGTGAAGAGGCGGGGCTTCAGGAGGCAAAAAACGCTGTATTCGACATATAAGACGCACTCAGATTTTCAGCCTCTTTTTTGAGGAAAAGGTGCGTCTTATACTCTGAAAAATACGGTATATTGTAGGGCATAAAGGACAAAGTCATGATGAAATAGGATTAGGAAATTTGTGGTTCAAAATATTGTACGTTATGTTTGAAGCCATGAGTTATTTGTTCGGGGAATCGCATAATGCATAAGCATCAACTTAAACTGAATTTGGATTTAACAGATGCAGTACAAAGACAATCAGCTAGTACTTGGCATTATTTCATAAACGGTAGATTAATTATATGATCAATAGCTCAATTTTATTTGTTGTGTACAAAATTGCTCTTGTATTTTCTAACGGAAGTACTCAGCAATTGCTTTTTTTATAGATACCCTAAAGCTGAAGCAGCGGTGGAAACAGAAGCATGGCGAAAAGGAGGTGAGCATCAGTGGGGTGAAATCAGAGTAAGTTGGAGGCCTTTGCTCTGTGCAGCCTGTCAGTTAGATAGCCGTTGGCCATTTTTTTTTTTGTATCACAAATTAGCTTGGTTCTGAGCTATTGTGCATGTGCTTGATCATTGTGACTTGTTTATAGCTTCAGTGTTGCGCATGTGCCAGAACCACTGATTTGATGGCAAAGAATAGTTAAACTTTGTGCAAAGCGTACGAAGCAGGGCTACTAGCGGAGATCTGCTTCTGTGGAATATGAGTGGAGGTTCACATTCTTGTTTTTCTCCTCCGGCCTGGTTTTTAGGAAGCCACACAATTCTTTCAAGAAGATGCTTCGCAGTACGATGACAGTTTGTCCTTCCAAGACATGAACCTCTCTCGACCTTTGCTGAAGGTATCCTTTTGAAAAGTGGGCTCATTGAGGTGCCTGGTGTCTTGTATGAATAAAGCTCTAATCTGAGGTGTGTTGTCTGAAGATCCAGCATTGGGGTACGTTGCTTGCTGGGAAAAAAGTCCGCTAGCAGCATAGAAAAGGCGGCTGCTTGGAGTAGAGTGAAGTTCTGGGCCCTCCCCAACGCCTTCCAGCAGAATAAATCAGGAAAGTGGAAGGGGTTGGAATGGCTATTTTTCAGCCACTTTCCTCTTGGGCAGAGTGCATTCCTCCGATAGAAACGGGAAATGTTAAGTAATTAAAAGATGCAAATGTTTAATATGATGCTTAAGCACGGAAGCACTTTGGCGTAAGCACTTTCTAGCGATCTAACCAGGTCTCTACCGGGAGTCTCTGCTTCAGGCGTCTGCCTACTGACCTGCGTCTCTGTTCTCAGGCCATAACCGCCCTGGGCTTCAAGCAGCCTACCCCCATCCAGAAGGCCTGCATCCCTGTAGGACTGCTGGGGAAGGACCTGTGTGCGTGTGCGGCCACAGGAACAGGTGTGTTGCGCCTAGCCAGTGATGGGAATGGGTTTGAAACGACTTCTGGCCTCCTGTGGATCTTAACTTTTGCCTGCCATTCAGGAAAGACTGCAGCCTTCATCCTTCCTGTCCTGGAGCGCCTGATCTACAAACCTCGCCAGGCCCCTGTCAGTCGGGTGTTAGTGCTGGTGCCAACCCGGGAGCTGGGCATCCAGGTGCACTCCGTTACAAAGCAGCTGGCTCAGTTCAGCAGCATCACGGTGTGCCTGGCAGTGGGTGAGTGACCCAGCTGTGGGCGTTTCCATGGGCAGCTCACTGATCTGCTTGTTGTTTGGGAATTGTTGGGCTGCCCGTCGTTTGCATTATTGTAGGTGGCTTGGACCTCAAGACCCAGGAGGCAGCCCTGCGCTGCGGCCCCGACATTCTCATCGCCACTCCTGGCCGCCTCATCGACCATCTGCACAACTGTCCCTCCTTCCACCTGGGCAGCATTGAGGTCCTCATTCTGGATGAAGCCGATCGGTGAGAGGATGGCCGAGATGTGGGGGCGACTCTCCTCTGGCCCTCAGAGCCCCCTGGCCTGAGCTTTGTGCGGTGGGCCAGGGAGAGGGCTGGCCCAACCTTTGCCTCTTGTTCCCCTTGCATGCCAGGATGTTGGATGAGTATTTTGAGGAGCAGATGAAAGAGATTATCCGGATGTGTGCTCGGCATCGCCAGACCATGCTCTTTTCTGCAACCATGACGGATGAGGTACCTCAGGCGCCTGGCACGGAGGAGGGCGGACGGGGAGAAGTGGGGTGTCCGGTGGGGGCAGGGGAATCCCTCGCCTTGCCTGGCAGGGCTGCCCTGGAGCGGCAGGAGTCCTTCTTCCTGCCACATCTGGAGGGGGGAGCCTTGGGGGCGCTATTCCTGGGAAGGGGCCAAGGCTGAGGAACCCTTTCTCCCCTTTGCCAGGTCAAGGATTTGGCTTCGGTGTCTTTGAAAAACCCCGTCCGGATCTTTGTGAACAGCAACACGGAGGTGGCCCCCTTTCTGCGCCAGGAGTTCATCCGCATCCGTCCCAGCCGTGAGGGGGACAGGGAGGCCATTGTGGCAGGTGGGGCTGCTGGTGGTGGTGGTGGTGGAGGCGGCCTCTGGTGGCGGGTCCAAGAGAGGGAGTCGGCAGTGATGAGTCTCCCTCTGCTCTCCAGCTCTGCTCACTCGGACGTTCCCGGACCACGTGATGCTCTTCACCCAGACCAAGAAGCAGGCCCACCGCCTGCATATCCTCCTGGGCCTGATGGGTCTCCGTGTCGGGGAGCTGCACGGCAACCTTTCCCAGGCCCAGCGGTTGGAGGCTCTCCGGTAGGCAGAGAGTGAGGGAGCGGGTGGCCGGGGGGGG